AAACTTGTTGACGAGCTCGGCTAAAGTTGTATAGGAGCAATTGTTTAGGCTAAAATATGATTTTTGCCCCAAGTTCAACTATTTGGGCTAAAAATAGTAATTTTTGCCCAAGCCCACATGAGTCCTTTAGAAGAAAGGTGGTTACTTGCTACGAAAATGAACTGATGTATCACTTTGGAAATGGGAAAAGGCAGAGAAAGTTATGGGGAAATTTACAGCTAATAGCCCTAAAAATATGGAGCATGGAGCAATGAAAAAATTGCTACTTTTTGCTTATAAAAGGGAAGCCACCACACACATACGAACCTCATCAACTCTACACACACATCTCAACACAATCTCTCTGAACATTTCAACAATTCAACTCCAAAATCTACTTGTCCAGTGCAAAATCCTTAACTTTATGTCATCCTTTACTTTGCCCAGTAGGGCTTTTTCTATCCTTTAGTAGATTCAAAACAACGCCCTTGACAAGCCTCACATTCAACAAAGAACACTAAAGTTATCTAACAACCAATAAAGCACTAGCTCATTATAGAACAATAGTAACAACGCGCCAATGCTTTTCCTTTCAGTTTTTTATCTTATATTTTGTTGTAATTTTCTTTTATCTTCTCAATATCATGACTACTCTCACCATGCAAGTTTTACATTTTTCTCCATCTCTGTTTCTTCATTTTCTTTATTTTTAAGTACTTGTGTTTGAGAAAATTGTAGTAAAGAATCTTGAAAATGCACCATTTGATTTTAGAAGTCAGGAATATTGTATCTTTTGAGGACACGCTCTTTTGGCATGCCTACACAAAAAAACATTGGAAACAAATTGATAATAATTTTTTAGAAGGTCTGTAATTGTCATTCTCTTTGTTATTATTTACTCATCTCATGTTATTTATAAAGTATTTTTTTTAAAAAAATATTCTTGATCCAAGTTATAAAATGTTTTGTAATATTATATAATAACTTTTTATTTTTACCCCTCTCGATGCTTTTAGTTGTTAACTTTGTGATTGTGAACGGAGGTTTTAATAAGGGCAAGAATAAAAATTTTGAATATTTTTTTTTTGAAAAGTTTAACACCATAACAATTATTTTTCATGTGTACGAAAAAAGTTTGAAACGTCTATAAAAATAATTAAAAGGAGTTTTTTTTAATCTATCGACGTGTGTATATTTGTAGTTAATTTTAAGATGAAGATTAGCTCTTTCCCCTTCCAACATATCTTCATTCCAATTTACATTTCTTTAATTCTTTCTGTCCTTCACATCCTTCCCTCGTTGTACTATTCCAGAGATCATGGTCGGACAAGTAGTATTTACCTTTTTTCTAAGTATTTTCATTCCTTTTTTTTTTGGGTAAAAAAGTATTTTCATTCCTTTTAATACAATTATGTATATATGAAACAAAAAAACTTTTCTGCTCACAAGAATTCAAGAATATTGCCGCACACTCTTTGAATTTTGCATAACTACTTAACTAATATGGTTCCGTGCGATACTAATAATATTTTTTAAGAAATATTTCTAAACTTTTTTATATACTTTTATTTTTTTGTTAATTTTTTAAATATTAATGATAAAAGAAAAGTATAAAAAAACATTACTTGAGATATTATAAAAACAATGTTTCTAGATATTGTGTATTATGAAAAAAATTAATTGAGAGAGGACAACCTCCTAAATGATGTTCAAATTTTTCGAGGGATTAGTTTCATGGCTGTTGATTGTGAGAATACCTTACGCAAAAAAAAAAAAAAAATACTTGGATAAAAATGTGTTTTTAATTGACTATTTCAATTTGAAATTAAACACGTGACTCAGTATCTAGTTGATTTTTCACATAATAAATAAGATTCATAAAAAATAATATAGTTATGAAATTCATAAAGATAATTCTGGGCTAAATTTTAATTTGGCAAGGATGTAACGTGCTCATGTTTGTTTGGCTAATAGTAGAAATGCCTTTTTTTTTTTTAAATTAGCTGATATATAATAGTGTAAATACTTGAATATTGGTTCTTATTAAAAGTAGTTAAAGTATATATTTAATTATTTAACTTTATATAATATTTTATTTTTATTCTTTAATTTTATAAAGTATTTTTTTAATTCTTTAACCCCTAATACTGTTAGTTTTATTTCAAAAAATTTTTATATTAAACTTTTTAATATTGGTAAAATATTTTCAAATATTGACATATTCACTTTAATTTTTTATTTAAATAATAATGATTGATATAAAAAAATAATTATTTAAAACTAATGATATTAAGGTTAAATGATTAAAAAGATACTTTATAAAATTAAAAGATTAAATTAAATTTTATATGAAATTAAAGAATAAAAGTATATTTTATGAAATTTTAATTTTTAAGATCCGAACCAAACATAATTTACAGGCCCGGAAAATATTACATAACAACAATAATATTCAGAAAGATGATCAAGGCAAGGCCATTGCATCCTTGCTCATATGCGTAGGGCGGCTAAAAAGTAGGGGATAATCTCCCTAAAAAGACCTAATATCTTTCACTTTTTCAAGTTTTTTACGTAGAACCTTTGCGTTCTTACCTTAATTTTAAATCCTTTTAGCATGTTTTTCATTTCGCTGGAACTGCCAAAGCCCATCTCAATTCTCATGTTATGTTGCGTCTTTTATTGACGCTTATTTCTTTTCAATTCCTATTTCCTAGTTTATTTTCAATTGCATTTTTATCCTTGCAGGTTGGGAAATTACGGTGAGAGACCCCAAGGTACTGATAATCGTTCGAAATGATATTATTTTTTAGATGAGTAACATCTTTAACTAGGCACCCACGCGCAAAATCTTGCCAATGCCAGGCATAAATATTTTATATATTTTCAGGTAAAACATATTTTATATGTTTCCAAATAGTTTACACGCACACACAAGAGCATGAGAATGGGCAGTGATGGATCCAGAAAAATTAATTTATAGGAGCAAAATTTGTACGTAAGATAAATATTAATATTAATATTAATATTATCACTAAATTAATTATAATTTTTATTAAATTATATTAAATATAAAATTTATTAATATTAAATTCTATTAAAGAACTATACATAAAATATAAAATTATAATAACATAAAATTATATCTATTCTGTTTTACATTTTAATTAATAAAACTTAAGTCTCTTGAGTTTTGATCAATAAAAGTGCGTTTAATAGATAAAGACTTAGTTCATGATCTTTTAACATTTGTCTCATACATTTAAATTTTATATGCCAATAAGATTTAATTCTTTTATATAATATACTTTTTTTATGACAAAATTTTCAATTTAAACATATAATTAGAGAAATTATTTTTTAAAACTATTGCTTCCTTCTTTTTAATTAAAACTCTTTCTATTTAAGCTTAAAACACATAAATAGGACATTGGTCAAATAAACTTTTTAAGAAATTAGTGAAATTTTTTATAGGACCACGTGAATTTTTTTTTTCTTTTTTGAGGGGGCGGGGATAGCTAAAATTTTTGAATGAAGGCAAATAAAATATTTAAATCATTATGTATATTTTTTTTGAGCTTGTGGGGGCAATTGCCCATCTATAATACAAGTAAATCCGTCTCTGAATGGGTGAATCAAATTAATGATAGAAGGCGCAAGCGCGAGGAATATGTGAGAATATATAAAACATTTAAGAAAAGCATGGTGTACGTATGATCTTATATTCTAATTTCTAAACATATATACAACTTAAAATCAAACTTGGTTTAATTTTACTCTCATAAACAACCCCCCCAACATACAGTGTACTACTAGACATTTTTAATTGAAATACATCATTAAATTACCATCATTTTTTTATATTTTTTCTTATTTAATAGAATTTCAAACTTAAAGATAAAATGTTGGATGATTTATTTATTAAGAATATTCTTTTTAAAAACTTATTAAATACACATTAAAAACTTAAAAATATCTTACATTTTAAATTTTAAAAAAATGCCTTATATTTTTTTGAATAGGGAAATATTATTATATCATTATCATTCTATATATTTCGAAAAATATTTTATATAATGTGTAAATGTATATGACTTTTTACATCAACCTCTCTCTTAAAAATTTTTCTCGCTGCATATTTTATCATTAAATTAGTTTATTAAATCGATAGAAATGCTAATCTAATGTTCATTATTGTTCAATTATAGTAAAACTGATTAACATAAAATTAAATATTTTTGCATAAAAAATATCATACAAAAGAAAAAATCTAAACTTTTCAATTCTTGACCAGCATTTTTTTTAAAATTCTGTTAGGTGTTGACTGTTGAGTATGAATGGATTATGTTAAATAAAATTGAATTTAAGAAGACTATATATAAAGGGGAATTAATAAACTCAATGATTAAAGATTTGGGGTTGTACGTTAAACTCATTTATAATTTTTCCTTGGGAAGTCTAATTGAAGGCAACAATAGATTTCCACCACACGATGCTCAATCATGCACGTCTATAACCACGGCTTCCGTATTGCTTCTTAAGCCAGCAATGTATTCCTGCTTGCCATTCTCGTTAATTAACTTGTTATTCGGGGACCTTCTTTCACTCTAAACCCTCCCTCACTCAAACCCAATAAATGAGCATTCATCACAGCAAAGGTCAACTCTCAGGCTCTTGATATTCCTTGAATTTTCAATAAATTAACAATAACGATCGAACCTCAATTTATTTATTTATTTATTAAACTGATCTCCCTTTGACAATATCAGGCCCCTCCCCCTGGCTAGGTTATCGAGAATAATCAAACCCTAACTACTTGCTCAAGGTATGAAAGGTGTCTAGTTATTGAGAAATGAGAAATATATAGGGTATGTACGTAGCAACAGATTCTTCCGAAACACAATCACACAAGAAATATATATATATATATATATATATATAAAACAATGTGAATTAGAAAACGAACACAGTTGAGTTCACCTAAGTGAGTGCTATAAATTGACGGGGGTGGCTCACCAAACGCCAGATATGGGAAGGCAGCTCGACGCGGAAAACCCAGGAGTTTGGCTAACAAGGCAATCTGATTTATGATTCTAAAAAAGATTACCCCATCAACCCCTCTCTCCCTCTCTGCCTCCATGTTCCTCAACCAATCTCATTTATTTCCCTCCATCAGTTTTGTTGCATCTCTCTCGTCTGATCTCTAGGGTTTCTCTTCTTTACTCTTAAAAGTTTCAACAACCCACCCCAGCCTTCCTTAATGCTGCATTTGACGGTTTCAGTATGAGAGAGAGACTGTGGGGGCATCGCCATGCACCAGTCTGTCCTTATTAATGCCTTCTCTCAGTCTTTTCACCTATAAAACTCTCCTCCATTAACACTCTCCAGCTGTACTCTTTTTCTCACTCTCCCTTCCCCCTTCCATGTTATGTTCTCTCCCTCTGCCCTCCATTCCTCCTGCACCTGCACTCAATCAATAATTAGTTTTGCACCGCCATGACTTTCGCCCCGGAAGCCTTCGTCCTTCGCTGTAAAGGTACCGTTTTGTTCCCCTTCTCCTCCTGACCCTACCTACTTTACTTTTCTCTCCGGCGAAGTAACAGACCTAAACTTTCCCGCAACAAGGCAGAGAATTTTCCCGGAAAGTTGCGGTGGTTTGCTTGTCACCTTGGTTTACGTCCTCTGCCAATAGGAATGGATACTTGTACGGCCCTCCTGTTTTTGACGGCTATCACGTTTTACCTTCTCTGGTTCACCTTCATCTCGCGGTCACTGCGTGGTCCACGTGTGTGGCCCTTATTGGGTAGCTTGCCGGGGTTGATTGAGAACATCGACCGCATGCATGAGTGGATCTGCGATAACCTCCGCGCGTGTAACGGCACGTACCAGACCTGCATCTGTGCGATTCCTTTCCTCGCCAGGAGGCAGGGTCTCGTGACGGTCACGTGTGATCCGAGGAATCTAGAGCACATATTGAAGGTCCGCTTCGACAATTACCCCAAGGGCCCGACATGGCACGCCGTCTTCCACGATCTGCTCGGCGATGGCATCTTTAACTCCGACGGTGACACGTGGTTGTTCCAGCGCAAGACCGCCGCCCTGGAATTCACCACCAGGACGCTCCGCCAGGCCATGGCTCGCTGGGTCACTCGAGCCATCAAGGATCGGGTCTGCGTGATCCTCGAGTCGGCTCAGAAAGAGTCCAAGTCCGTTGATATACAGGACTTGATGCTCCGGCTTACTTTCGATAATATCTGCGGCTTGGCTTTCGGAAAAGATCCTCAGACCTGTGCGCCGGGTTTACCTGAGAATGGCTTCGCTTCGGCTTTTGACCGAGCCACTGAGGCGTCCCTTCAACGGTTTATATTACCAGAGATATTGTGGAAAATCAAAAAATGGCTCCGGCTTGGAATGGAGGTAAGGTTGAGCCGAAGCATCGCTCACGTTGAGGAGTTTTTGTCCAATGTGATCGACAAGCGTAAGCTCGAACTGCTCAGCCAGCAAAAAGATGGGAATCCGCACGATGACTTGCTATCGAGGTTCATGAAGAGAAAGGAATCCTACTCGGACAACTTCCTCCGCCATGTGGCGCTGAACTTCATCCTTGCTGGACGTGACACTTCATCAGTTGCCATGTGCTGGTTCTTCTGGCTGGTTATGCAAAACCCGAGGGTTGAAGAAAAACTACTGCGTGAAATATGTACGGTCCTAATGGAGACACGTGGCGACGATGTGGAAAATTGGTTCGATGAGCCGTTGGGGTTTGAAGAAGTTGACCGTTTGGTGTACCTGAAAGCAGCCTTGTCTGAGACACTTCGTCTCTACCCTTCGGTGCCGGAGGACTCAAAGCACGTGGTGGCCGACGACGTGCTTCCCGACGGCACGTTTGTTCCGGCGGGATCGTCTGTGACGTATTCCATATACTCGGCTGGAAGAATGAGGACCACCTGGGGGGAGGATTGCCTGGAGTTTCGCCCTGAGAGGTGGCTGTCAATGGACGGGACAAAGTTCACGATGCATGATTCTTTCAGGTTTGTTGCCTTCAATGCTGGTCCGAGGATTTGTTTAGGGAAGGACTTGGCATACCTACAGATGAAGTCCGTCGCAGCGGCGGTGCTCCTCCGCCACCGGCTCACATTGGTGCCGGGCCATCGGGTGGAACAAAAAATGTCGCTCACATTGTTCATGAAAAATGGGCTCAAGGTCAACGTGCACCGTAGGGATTTAAGAGGAGTCCTGGAGAGTATACAAAGGAAAATAAGGCAGAGGGTCATGGAAAGAGTCTCATGCTATGAGATGTGATGACTTTGTGGCATCTGGTTCAATTCTAGTATATAGGAGCAAACAGAATAGATTTCTATATTTTTAAAAAGGGTATATTCATGATACCTTATGAATTCTTAATTTATATATTATAATTGCGGGAGGATGTCTTTTTGTGGGATGGTCCTGCTGGGATTTATGAATGTTCTTCGATCTATATATAGTTTCTTTGTAGAAACCTTGAAAATATTCACATCATTGTTTCTTTCTAGTTTATTTGAATACTGTTCCAAGACGAATTGCTGCTTACTATAATATTTGTTTTGTGAGTTTGTGTAAGTGTTAACTTCATGGGAAGTTTGTTGACACTGACGTGGAAATAATAATGTATTGCCTATGATGTTCCATGGTGAAAGTTGACTGTTTCTGTTTTCCGGCTGAAATATGTTTATCGTGTCTTTCAAAAGGCTCACACGGTGAGCTCCGTTAAATTGCAGAACTGGTCTGCACAAATCATCTGTGATTCATACATAGCAATGTTATATTTCAGTGAATTTGATTCCTCTATCATGCTTTTTGGCATGGGAATATTTCGTTTGAAGACCAAACACCCCCTTAAATTCCGAATTCATTCGTCAATGAACGAGTCTTTTACCTACTGCAAGCACGCATGCAGACAGAACAAAGCTAGTCTCGTATTCTGAGGTTAGATGTAAAATGTGTCCGTGAGAAAATCCTGGGATAGATTAATATGCACGAGAATGTAAGCTATCATGCAAAGGTCGAGAGACAAGGCATTTTCAAAAGGTGCCAAGTTAATCCAGGATCTCTGCAGAAACTGAAAAGGTCATTTCGCTATTTAGTGGAGGACCTAATTAAATGGCGTCTCTTCTCTTTCCCTCACGAGGTTTTAGTTTTCAATTGTCCTCAATATTTGGTTATCTGATTAAAGATTTCCTTGACTAAAAAATCTACTCTTCCTTTATGTCATTGCAATTTTGGTTAGTCCAGAACTTTCTAACCAGTTGAACAGGAATATTGCAGAAAATTGCCAATTAGATGCAATGCCATTGCCAAGCAACCTTAAAGACATCTTCCCAATCTGCAGCAATGCCAAATCACAATCTTCCTGAAAAGTGTCCCTAACAATATGACATGCTTACATGTCTCTTTATGATTCACTTGGTCAAAACATATTGGTCAAATATTTAAAATCTTAGCTTTAAACATCCGAAGGAATATACTGTATTTTGAAAAAGGACAAGCTGCAGATTTGTAAAATAGAGCAATCAATAATCAGGAAACAGTTTAGAGCCGGAGCTGAGAGACTAACAGATGGTCAGTGAAAGAGACTCACAAGTTTCTTGGTAAATTTACACTCTAAGTATGTTGGTCTTGGTAAATTAGAGTGTCTACCAAAGACAACTTAGGCAACATGTGTATTTCAGTCTTCAGCTTTACAATGGTAAACAGGTCTGGTTTGCCGATATCTTATGCTCTCCTTTATCAGCGATGAACACTTTAAATCCCCCTTTCATTTGCACTAAAATTTTTTAATATTATGAATGTTTACATCTTTTGGAATTCATATGAACCTACGAATGAAAAAAAAAAAAAAAGGAATTGGAGACAGGATGAGAAGGTAGAATTATTGTTTATATGATTCTTTCTTAATTTAAGATTTAGTTATGAATAAGCAGCCAAGGCGTTTGAGCTTAAGGAGATCTTATCCTCTCTAAATACTGTAGTAGGATGAAGATTGGGAACTCTGATTCGTGTATAATTGTAATTTCCAGTCTAGGTAAGATAGCTACTTCTTATTATTGATAAATTTGACTTGAGATTGATTTGAGAACTTTTCGTTGTTTTATTTTGTTCTTCTTCAGGTCCCACATGCTACATCAGTATGATACCATCTGATACTGAAACTACATATTTGACTGTTTGTTTATCCTAAATCCTGATAGACGATTAAAACAAAACAACAGCAATAGATCACTGCATAGTGTGGGTCCAATGACTTAGAGCTTGGTATATAGACCCGATTCTTTGGAGGATGCATCAGATTCCTGTCAAGAAAACAATAGATCAAGGTTTCAACAAGGTCCTGCCAAGAAAACAATAGATCAAGGTTTCAACAAGGTGGATGCATACACAAGTTTTATAGGAATTTAAGTTTCATAATCAGGGTAAGTGTTTTTTACTGTATAGAATCATTCAAAATGTAAGGAATCATAACTTAAGAAAATTTATATTAACACAGAACAAACCTGACTGCATGCCATGCATAGTACTGCTAAAGCAGGCGTTCTGTTATAGATCAGTTGAAGTAAAGAAGGCCGGTCCCAGAAATACAATTGATTGCATGATCTGCCGAAGTAGGTGAGATAAGCAGCAGAATTATAACAGAGATAAGAGATCTTTCGGTAAAGATTCAATCAGTAAAAGATGAGTAGATAAAGCCAATCATGTAAAGACGTGAACATGTCAGACACACATATTGATGATAGATGCCCTTAACATACTTCCATGTGTTATAATTAGATGGTTCGCCTATCATTTGAAGATCAACAAAAGAGTCCAAGAGCTACCGTTGCATGTCAAATGTTTTATTTAAGAAGAATATTCCCTTACTCATGGAAAACATGCGTAGAAAATGTGGCCTTGGAAGAATATGGTCCTATAACTAATGAACACAAATGTCATTCTCAATTGAAAAAGGAGTATGCTTTAGAGGATTGTTTGTCTTTCTTGTCTCGAATAATGACCCTTTTACGTCACTTTCTCTGATCTTTTTTTCTCTGAGAAACAAAATAATGATGCTTTCAGTTTAGTTTTCCAGGTTTTTCTTCTTTCTTCATGGCAAGATAATTGGAATCAGTTCATTCTTCCTATCTAGTAAAACTGGCAATTGATTCTGCATAAGGATGAGTGATTATATGAACTCGAATATTTGCTCTCCGTCTTAGTTTGTTGTTAGAAAAGGAAACAATTTGGTCTTCGTTATCTCTGATATGCAAGTATCTGAAATCTGATGTTGCATTTGATGGAAGCACTCGCTCTTGAGTAGTAAGCAATAGATCCCCTGCGGTCAAATTGAAGTAAAAATGTTTCTCACCTTAAACAATGGATCTGGGCCCCTTTTCTAGAATTTGGCGTTGAAACTCATAGCTAAAATGTGGAACCAAGGTTGGGTTGAGATTAAAAATCAATCAGATACCCACTTAGTCATCTGTTGCCAACCGATCACAGACACCGTATGTCCCAAGTACTCAACCTTCCATTATCCAAACGAACATATAAAAAGCTTGGCGCTTAATTGATGTTGAAACAAGATTAAGGACTGTACTAAGATGTTACAGAGGCCAACACCAAGAGCATTAATATAAGTGAAAATGGCGTGGCAAATCATTCATATCGACCTTCGGTGCGTATGAAAGGCATTAATCACGTGTCTATCTTCAGGCTGGATATGCATTTCATTTTCATTAAGAAAAATAGACTCGTCCAAAATAACTCATCCAATAGCTCATCAACAATTGGAATGGGAAAGTTATCTTTAACTGTTACAGTATTTAAAGCCCTGTAATCTGTACAAAAATGGCAGAGAAGTGTCATCTTCTTTCTTCACAAGAATGACCGGAGATGAGAAATGGAATGGAATAAAATGCATTAGGAGGGTTTTCAGTTATGCTTACTCTCTCGGTGCTTATTGGGATATTTGTGATTCCAAGAGAATTTCTTATGAAAAAACTTATATACATAACTTTATATATTTAATATATTTATTTTTAATTAAATCAAACATTTTTTTTATAAATTATTTAATTTATGATAAATTTTTATTATTAATATTATTGACATTAAAATTCACATGTCTTGATTTTATTTATAAAGATATATTAAATATATAAAATTAAGTATAAAAGCTGTCTCTAATTTCTTATCACTTGAATAGCGTTCGACAATAAAGTTAGAGTGATAGGATACTCAAACATGGCTCTTTTTATCTTTTTCGAGTGAATTTCAAACGTGGCTCCTGCACAGCTTTGAAGTGCTTGTCATTTTCTTTTTTGGGGAACAAATGCTTTTGTTGTTTAATTAAATTAAAGAGCCATTGCTTTACCCAAAAAAAAAAAGGGAAGAAAAAAGAAAGAGCTATAGGACTTCCATTCCCCAAATTTGTTGGATTTTGGGAACTGGCGTTTGGGGAACCGAAACGGTTTTCCGAACATGCATAATTTTCCTCTTCTCTCTGATTAAATTAAAAATTCATAATTATTAAAAATAAAAATAATTAAAACTTTATCTAGTGAAGCATGTAGTCACTTCTAAATCAAGCTAGCCTATCTTCATCGTTAGCATGATAGCATCAGCATTTGAATCCCGGGCACATCGGTCCAACCACTAATGTCTCGCCATGGAGACCATGAGAGACTGTCTTGAGAAGAGCAAGTAGCCAACTAGTATGAGAGAGACTCCTTAGGTATAGCCTACAACGAATGAATACATTCCCTTGAGATTATTAATTCTCAAATAATAAGTTATATTTCATTTTATGTTAATACTACTTTCATCCCAACTTATAAAATATTTTTTAAAAAAATTCACCTTCTTAAAGTATAATACATTTTGACAAAAACAAGTATTCATTAATAATATTTTTTTAATATTATCATTTTCATTATATTTTCTCTCTTTAATATTGTTTTCATAAATAAATATTAAATAAATGAAATTTTTAAAAATTCAATTTTTATTTTGAAAAAATAAAATTATAAAATATATTTAATAAACTTTATTGATATGTATAATTTTTTTTACATATCTTATAATTTAAAATAAAAGGAGTACAATATGTTCCTCAAACTAGATGCTATGCAGTCTGATTGAGTAAAGCGGAAGTTAGCGTTAAACTGGCAGTGTTACTTATTAAGACATGAGCATTAAATTATAGATCAGAGAGCAAATCAGAACCAAAGTACAAGCAATCCTTGTATTAAGAGCAATCATACAACAACTACTTGGCTTTTGCAAGCAGCCATCTCTGAGGTGGGAGTACCCTACTTCCAATCTTCCTCCATTTTAAAGAATCACATATCTCTGATTGAAGTTGTCCATTTCTGTCACGGCTGGCCATGAAATTGTCCTGCATCTTGATTGAAGCAATGCTTGCAGAAACAGACTTGCTTGTTGAGAATAACATTACTTTGGCCTCATCCGCAATGAAGCAACTTCAAAAGATGAGCAGTAGCAAAATATGGCGCCCAACATCTGACAGCTGTATTACATCACTCTA